GAGAAGAAAACAATTCTGAGAAGTCCCACCACATCAGTTCCCTGCTATTGGGCCAGCTGGCTGGACGGCTTGAGTGGAACACAATGCAAATGTAAGCGCACAGAGGCCTGGTTTCCCAGACACAAAGACACAAGTTAGGGAATCCTGCTCTTGGCTCTGAGCAAACCGTTCAGCCTCAGTGTTGCTTGACACAGAAGCACAGACCAGCTTCCCAAGGAGCCTGAGGCCCAGCTTTTCACATAGCAATTTCTCCTCACCTGCTGACATTTTTTGGCACACCATGGTGCCACTCAGGGGCCTGGCAACAACCTGCACCCACCTGCTGCTGATGCCACCACCCTCTTCAGGCCAGAACCAATTCATCAAGATAATGAAAGGTGCCTGAGTGGGTGCTTAAGGAGAAAATTACAAATATTTTTGTAGAAAGCTAAGGACTACTCAATGTCCCTGCTTCCCAGCACACATCCTTGGTTGACTTTAGGCATGTGTCTTGATTCCCTGTGGTCATGTGTCTGAGACAGGCACTTTGGTGTTCAGTAGAGACAAGGTGGCAGTGCCTCTGGTAATTGGAAGGTTTGCGTGATTTTAGGTTCCCAGCAAAGTTTTCCAGTGAAACCTTAGGTGACCGTGGACTTGGAGCTACTAGAGTACCTTGCAGATGTCACATAATTAAGTTTAAATATTCCAATGCCACTGAAGTTACCTGCAACACAGTAATTTCCATGTTTGTGTCTTGACTTTTGTGTGAAGTGTTTCATGGTGCTGAAGTCCTGATGGTGGGGTGCATCTTCAGCTGCTGTTGACTTTATTTTTTTCCCCCAGGAAAACTGAAAGCAGATTTCCAAGAAAATCAAATTTTATAAAGGAAGCTTTTTAGAACATCAGCTGCAGAGCTGGACCAAGGCCTCTTGGCTAATAAAGACCTGGCAGTAATAAATCTTCTATTAGCAAAACTTTGCAAAAGACCTAATCCTGCAAGATACAGACTATCAATTTTACTAACATGATCTTCTGTGTATTTAGCAGACTTAGCCAAGACAAGGAAATGTAGATCGCTATATTCTTATTCAAACATAATTGTCATTTTACAGCATGTTGCCCCACTGGGAAGAAAATGGTCAGGTTCTGAGTATCTGTTGTACCAATATGTATGCATAACATGCATATACAATTTTATGGTACATATCATTGTGCTCTCTGGAAAAGAGCATGGCAAGGTGGCAGCAAAACCCTTAGTGTCACTCAGCTTTCAGTGGTTGTGCAGAAAGAAGCTCCAAAAAGGAATAAGGTCATGGACATAATGCTGCTATATTTGTGAAAATTCTGTACTGGAAAATGCTCAGGTCTGACTCCAAGCATTTCTTTGAAAGGAGTTTTGATCTGGATCTGATCTGACAAGACTCAGGAGAGCATTTGTAGGTCGAACGACTCCCTCTCTAGGTTAGCAGGCTGATATTTGAGTCACTCAGGTGCTCTGGCAGAGATAAGCATAATCTGCAATGACATCTAGGCTACACCAGAAGATAATGCTGCTTCTGGTGTATTATTCAAAATACGTGCCAGCAGACTGGCTTCCACTGCTTAAATATTCACTGCAGTGCATTTGTGGCTAAAGCTGTACTCAGAGTGGCAGAACTAAACTGAACTGCCACCCTCAGGAAAACTTTATTAGAATAATTTCACATTAGGCAGTTTATGTAACTAGATGTTAAAAACACTGCTTTCTAGAAACACTGTCAAGTACTTATCATCAAATAACCGATTCAACTTATTTTTAAACCAGAGGTACCTGGAAATACTGACCATACAGATTCCTGGAAATTGTTGTACTGGAGCAACTCTTCAACCTGCTCTTGACTTTCTTTGAGAATGTAATTTCAGATCAAAATGCTGAAGGTGTCTTGCATTGTAAATCAAATCATGAGGAGATCTTAACTGGTATGGGGTTTGCTGCTGAGAGAAAAGGCAGATCACATGAATTCTGCAAAATTACTGACTTTGCCAGTTTCCAAAAGAGACACGTTGTGCATTTTTAGAAGTCCTTGAAAGCATGATTGCTATCATACTGCTATCAGACAAAGGATTTTCAAGTAATGCTGAACATAACTTATGCTGCAGACAGTGGAACAAACTTTTAGGACTGTTTTTTATATACTAGGTGAAGATGATATAAAGACATAATTAAGGGTTAGTGTTTTGGTATAGAGCCATAAGGCCAGTCCTGTGACAGTCGTGGTATCATCTCAGCAAAGGCTCTGCAACTATTTAAACATACTTAATATTTTGTGCTGCCAGAATAGAAGAGAATCTCAGCTTATTTCTAAAACATCTAACTAATTTAAAATAAAACCACTAAGTATCAGTGGCAATATAATAAGTTTTCAGTATGTAAGAACTTCCTGCTTCTCTTCCTCTTGTTCTTTCCTTCAGGTGTTTTTTTTGTGGCAAAGCTTTACACAGGAATGAATGGCAAAAGTGACATTGCTTTCATCATTTGGAGCAGAAAGAATACCTCCAGCCAAGCTTTGGAGGAAATATGAAAAACACTCAAAACACAACATACATTTTCAAAATTCATTCCAACATTAGAGGCACATGAAAGATAGTGTTGCGTATATTTCAATCCTTGCTTTGCTCATGCTCCCAGCAAAAAAACCTAAAAAAGCTATGCTCACAAAAGAAGTAGCTGCAAAGTTTAAGATGTCACCACCCCTCACAAGAGGTTATGCAGACCTGCACCTCAGCACCTTCACAGCTTAGTTAAAACACTTTGAGAAGCACATTTATCTCCAGGCACTGGATTTTGTATGGAAACAGCTGAGATGAGTGAGTGTGAGTGCACACACTCCGCTCCATCAGCTACTCTAACACTCCCAGCTGAAAACATGCACTGATGACATCTTAAATTGTATCAGTTAGATTTGCCTGGAGCTCATCCAGCCCCTCTTGAAGTTTCCACCATGCTCTCAGGTGTTATGATGGAGACTGAATTAGCCAAGCTACACTTTCACTAATTTCCCAGCATTATTGCGGGCAGGTAATAGCTACCAGTAGCTCTTATGCTGTTGTCAAAAATCTCTGATTCTTCCTACTCCCCCACAGTCAGAACTACTTTCTATTTTGGAATGACTGTCTGACCTGCAAACTCTCTTCAGACCCATAGCTGGCAAGATCATGAACCCATCACGGAAGAGGGCTGGTTGTACTACTGTTTATAGAAATAGGTAATTCCTCCTCCCAGCTTTCTATTATTGTGTCAAGGGCTCCAGGAACTACATCTCATGTCCAGGCCATTTGCTGTGGAAATTATTTCCTCAAGAGATGTGCTGTCCCATGCATGGGAAGAAATGTTAGTATCTGATTTTCTCTGGGAAAAAAAAATAAATTAGAAAGTCAACAGTGCTTGTATATAACCTGAAGTGAAAACCCTATGCAATTCTGAGGCCAGTAGTTACTGGATTAAACTTTGCACTAGAGGCAAATTCTTGGATATACATCTTTGTTCCTGTTGTTCCTCTCCAGCTTTGAGAGAAAATGAAACTCAACTGCCCCAGGCAGTACACAAGTCACATTCTTCTCTGATTATTACAGATGTATTTTAATTCCAAGTTTCTCTGTCTCTTTCTACATGGTGTTCCCAGAAGCCCTGAGTGCTTTTCTCAGTGTTAAGATAAATCTAAAATAAGAGAGACATAAAGGTCTCTTCCTAGTCCTGTCTCAGCTCCAACTCAGCTCTGAGCCTTACATTTACTGGTTTGGTTTTTACTACATTTTCAAGGCTGAGCCCTTCAGTGCTTAACGATCTGTCAGAAGCTTGAATAGAGAACTACTTCCTGGCTGGGATAGGTTGGTACCCTCTGTACCAAAACTGGCATCTCAGACAATCACAAAGCACTCGGTATCTGTCAGCATATTCAGGCTATTATTTTGTGAATCCAGACAATCCAGACTCAGGCTTGCAGCAAAGCAGAAGCAGAAGCAAAACCAGCTGTAGTTATCTGGCAACAGACAGCTGTCTGTTCTCACCCCTCTGGCAGAAGGCTTGGGTCTTAGTCCCCCCTCTTTCTGCCTGAGGAGTACAGGGGCACAGGCATTTGCCAGCAGGTCTGGAAGCAGAAGAGCTGCATCAGAGTGACAGAGCACCGGAGCCAGTAAGCTGGGCTTAGCTCCTGCTCTGCTCCTTCACTCCAGCTGGCTTGGACCCAGACAGCTCAAGTTTCTCTGCGTATCATTTCCCTGCTCTCCAGATTCTGGGGCCAGTACAAGCAGAAGGAGCCCAGATCTGTTTGCACACAGGATCTAAGTTGTTATCCTGTTGCACAAAGCAGAGCAAAACAAGATGAAAGGGGTAGCAGCTGGAACTACACAGCTTTGTAGAGATTCTGTAACGATGCACTTATCAAACATTTTGCACTTGTGAAAGGCTGCTACGGGAACTTCACCCATCCTGCAGCTTTAAGAACTGCAGCTGTGGAGTAAGCACAGAGCAGTAAGCAATTCGCTTACCAATTTGCTGCTTTCCTCGTGCAGCAACTCCTTCTCCCTGCTGGAGGGTGCACTTCTACCTGATAAAAAGAATCAGCAGTAAGCTCAAAAACAATCAAAAGGGCTTTTTTCTTCCCCTCCCCTGGCACCTTCTGCGTGGAAAGGTAGGACTTCTGTGAGGAAAAGAATCACAACCTGAAGCTGCTGTACTAACTTCCGGTTAACACTGCATGAAAGCATTCAGGGAGCTCCTCACCCACTTCCTTCACAAGTCTAGAAGACAAGGAAATGAAAGTATATGACCCTGGCACAGATGAAAAAGGTACATTTAATATTCACGCCTTTTTGTGCACAAACTGGTCAATCCGAAGGACAGTCATTCTTCTATTGAATCATGCTGCAAAATTATTTCTATCTCGCTGTTGTGCTTTCTGAACAGCTGCTCCTTGCAGGAATTAGTTTGCTGTCATTTCAAATTGCAAATAAAAAGAGAAACCAAAGCAGTAAGAATAACACAAATTTAAGTATGTGCTTTTATTTTATACTTTCATGGCACATTTTCATTTGTAAACATTAAATTACCAGTGCTCTTCTTCATATGTTGAAAATAACCACCAGACATTTGAGAGAATTACCTGAGATTAAAAAAAAAAAAAAAAAAGAGAGAGAAAAAGATCTGGCATCTTTTACATTTCTCACATACAGTACCATTTTAGGAAGACTTACAAAAGGGAATGTTTTCCAAAATAGGACAGTTTTCTTTTGACTATAAAGATATACAAAATACATCGAAACACCTTGGAATGATCAGCCTTATCAATAGTATGTGTCAAATCAAACCATTGCTTGATTGATCAAACTGTTTCAATCCCATTAATGCATAGCTGAAATACTGCATCAGTCCTGCAGCAGCATGATATCCACGTTGTCATGAACACCTTGTAAGAGCAGCTCTCCTTGGTAAGTGACGATCTTCCGTCGTTTTGCCGCCTTAAGCGTGCCCACCAGGGCCTCAAAGAGGTTGGCACACTTCTCATCAGCAAACAGCACACCAAATTTCACGCTCACTTGTCCATCAGCATCTAAATAAAAGACATAATGTAGATTTCCTTCAAGTTAGGAGACTACTGAGGAGATAAGGTTAAACAGAGAACATTGAAAGTAAACCCCACTGTTTCCCAGTTTATTTGGGATCATACTATGAATGTTTATGATAAACAGTAGGCAGAACTCCTGCCTAATCTAATTTTGCCTTTCATTACAGAGACTTGTATCAAGGACCATATATCTGCTCTGTTGACTTTTGCGTGTCAACATATGAAACATATGACAAGCACAGGCTATTGAACCTCTTTACAGGGTTTGGAGGAAATTAGTTAAAAATAATTTAAATCCTAGAATATCTCAAACTGAGGGAGACCCATAAGGATCAAGTCCAACACCTTGCTCCTCCGACCTAAATCTAAACCATACGCTAAAATATATTTTTTTTACATTTTTTTCACTCATTAATATTTGAGGGTCACATTGAAAAGGCTGCAATGTGAATTTTCACACAAAGCAAAAATTAAAAAATATATGTTAGTTATATTATTCCTAAAAAGCAGATGCAGTCGTACAAAATGCAAGATGTACATAGGCGCTTAGGTTTTAAAACACAAGTGGGACTGAACAAGTGGCACCAGAACTGACGTATAGGAGCAGGTAGAACATCCACAAACTGCACAAATATTTGTAAAGAAAGGCGAGTTTTAGCAGTGAAAAACAATCTTAAGAGGAAATGGTACCTTCTAAGCAAGTTTAAGGAAGTTTGGAACTACACCTATAACTCCTAGATTAGTTTTAGGCATACAGACCAATTTCTTCCAAATAATATGATTATGAACAGAATTGAAATACATGAATTCTGAAGTAAAGAAGGAGGAAGGAGGTGGAAGAACAAGGTGCAACTTTCTTCTGTGGTGACTGTAGCGAGTACTGAAAGCCTGAAGAAAAGGTGACTCTTGCAGCTGACTCGGGGCAGGATTTCAGGCTGATATCCTCTGTGCTGGAGAGGCTTAAATGTTTAACTTTATAACAGAACTAGTTTAAAGGATGGAATACAGGCAGTACCGTACAGTCCAACATTAAGTGCATACGCAGGTTTTCAGGTTACCTGCTTATTTGAATTTGCCAAGTTCTTAGTTTGCTATAACACAACTACACCTGTATGACATGCATGCATGGTGACGTGTATGGACACATCTGTAACGTGAATATATCCATGCAGAGATACTGCAATACTCACTTCTGGTTCCCAGCCGCCGAATCTCCTCAACTAAGAGGCTAATTTCATGTTCCACATTCATTGTGGTCTAGAAGGAAAAAAAAATAATTTACTAGGTTATAAGGAATCCTGTAAATCCTTTGCACCATTCTGGCGTGTTCTCAGTTCTTTAGGAATGTCATGACACTTCATAAATCCCAGTAGCCTGGAGATGCATGATTACAGGATAATCTAGGATTTTAGTCTTGAACAGGTAAGAGCACCTCCACATTTGAAGGGAAGAGAATAGAAGTTGCAATCTTGTTACATTCTATACACAAATATAAGGAGCCAATCTCAAAATATGGCAGATGTAGGAAGGTCAAGGAAGAGAAGGGTTGTTGGTTTTAAAGAATGAGCTTAAGCTGCCACAGAATCAGAGCAACTCACTAACATCACAGGTCTTCAGGGGCTTTGCAACTTTCCATCAATGGCCTCAATTAAAATGGAACATCTGCCTTTAAATTTCTCTCTGGGATATGTGGTAGATTTGGTTTCTTAAACCACACCACAGTTTTCTACATATGCTGGCAGGATATTGCAGGCATGTATTACTGGTTACAGACACACATGGTGTATGAAAGGACAGCAGCTTCTGCATACCCGCTTACTGAGAGCGGAACTGATCCAAACTATGCAAGGGACCTAAGGCAACCAACATTTTTGCCACTCAAAGTGATCCCGAGCATCTGCTACACTGCTAAACATATCCCGAGCACCTCTTTGCCGTGAAATGCAGGGATCTGCACCAATGTCTACCAATGCCTTGCAACAGGTTAGCTTTATGTGGCACAGCATAGGGCAACACTAGAGTCACGCACAACACTATCTGGCTACAAAGCATCCAAGGTTAGCAACTGCAGACACCTGAACCGCGTTTTATGGCCTATGCTGTGCAAAGCAGCATTAACACAATGAAACCTTTAGATGTTGAACTCCTAAAGCAAAAACTGACATTGAGGTAAGCACAAGAAACTGGGCATCACAGGCTTAGCAAAGCATTGAATGCAGCTGCCAAAGGTGCCAACAATGCAGCTTAGAACAAAAGTCACTGAGAGCTTCTGGAGCTGAGCACTAGCTAAAAAGGGCTCAGTGAGACTCTGCTGTTCAAGAAACTGGTATTTCTGCACTAGTATGCAAGTGGAGTTAAAAAATAGACATCTGAATGCATCACACACTCTTCCTGTGAGAAAAGCTTCCCATCCTTTCTTTTTTTATTGAGTTAAAATAGGTAAGAGTGACATAGTTCCACTTCCTGACCCCTTATGATTTACCCTTTTCAGCAGTCTGATTTTTAAATCCAAAATTCACATGGAAAAAAAGAAATGTTTCTATTTAACACGCAAAACTGAGCAGACTTAATTATCAGCATGAGCTGTGGGCAAAGCCCCAACCGAACCACAGATTCATTCCCTAGTGCACGGTAACAGCGGCACTGCAGCTGACACTGTTCATTCAGTGACAGGTGACATGGAAACTGGACGTGGGACCACCGCTGCAAAGGGCAGGGCAGCCAGGCTGCACAGCTGCAACTCCCTTAGGTGAATTCTACAAACTTCCCGATTTTGTTTGACTCGGCAGTAAATAGATCAAGCCAGCAAGGAAAATATGACCCATCTCTTAGAAAGCTTACACTGCCATTATTTGTCAGACTGCCAGTTTGGATATTGGTCATCACAACGGCATAATTATCTTCTCTTTAAAGACGTTCTTCTCGCTTTAAAGGCTCTTTTTTACTTTCAGCTTTTTAAATTCACGTTGACTTCTAATTATTTTCATACATGCACACCATCAATATAAACAGTCACTATTTAGAATTAAAAAAGTTAAATTCTATGTTATCAGAAAATACTTTTGAGATCAGAAAAGCGTGGCTGAGCAAGGAGCAGGGATGCTCGGTATTTCAAAACTTAAATATTTGCTTTATACTGTTGATGCTCAACACACCAACTACCAAAAGTGCACGCCAACTATTAGACTCTAATATTCCTGATAGCAGTACACTGCTGCAAGGCGGTGCGTGGTACGGAAATTAAACTTCTCCTTATTTGGCAGAAACGCGCCGAACCGCGGCGAGCGCACACACGAACACACACACATATACAAACACACACACACACAAACACACACACATACAAACACACACACACACACACACACACAAGCACATCTGACACCCACCGCGCCGACCTGTCCCCTCGCAGGCACTGATGGCCCTCGGCGGGACCTCACCGGGAGGCAGAGCGCGGCTCCGTCCCCACACCACGGCGGGATCCGAGTCCTGCGCAGGGAGCACCGGGAAGCGGGCCCCGCCCGGGGGAGCGGCAGCCGCGCCCGCTGCCCGGGCAGCGCCTCTGCCCCCGGCGCGGAGGGAGGGAAGGACGGCTCCCCGGGGCGGAGGGAGGGAGGGAGGGAAGGAGGGAAGGAAGGAAGGAAGGAAGGACGGAAGGACGGACTATTTCCAGCCCCCGGCCCGCTCCCGCCCGCCGCCACTCACCCGCTACCGCTGCTGTGGCCGCTCGGAGCCGCGGGACAGCGCCGGGCGGGGCCGGGGCCGGCGAGGGGCGGGCAGAGGTGGGTCTGCCCCCGCCGGGGCCGCACCGCCCCCCGCGCTGAGCTCCCGCCGCCCTGGGGCGGCGCTGCGGCCATCTTGGCGCTGCCCGTGAGGGGGGCTGTGGAGTCAGTGCTCCTGCCCTGCCCTGCGCTGTTAGGAGCTCTCTCCAGGGTTAAATTCTTCCCGCCGCACGGGCGCTAGTGAGTTTGAGAGGTAAAACGCCTTCCAAAGCCAGCCCTTCAGCAGCTCTCCCGCTCTTCCAGTGGGTCAGCTTTCTATAATTCACCGTGTTGCTTCTCCGTCACCGTCCCGTGCCCCATGTGCCCCACCTCTGCTGGATTCCCGGAGCGACATCATGCCGCATTCCTTAGGCCCCCCACATTTGTGTTCTCCTAGAAAAACAGTTCTTCTCCCAAAGAAAACGAACGAGCTAGGTTCATACAATTGACCCTCGATAAAGTTTTATTGCAGTGTATCTGTGTGTCCATTCAGCACCCATATCCTCGCACCCGGCGCTGCAGAAAGAACGCAATTTGATTTTTTCTGTTTTATATCATGGCATTCACTACCATTGTCTCTCTTTCTTCCTGTTCACCTCACAAAAACGATTACGTCCTCTCTCAAGGACTCAGGCATTTAAGCTGAGAGCTGCATCAGCTCCTACAAAGCAATGAAGCTGCCGCTAACCTCCCGGTCAGAGTCAAGGCTCACACCAAGGCTCTCCCAAAAATTCTCACTGCCACAGCTGAAGGCATTGCCGTTCCCGGCTGTCTCTCCCACCTCCTCATCAGGCATGACTGCCCCTAAAGCAGAGTTGATAAAAAAAAAAACTATTTCCAGCCCTTACAATTCACAGTTTTCATGCACTAGTTTCTGAAGGTGACGCTGAGATTCTTTTTCAGACTGTGAGCTGTGCCAGTTGGGGCTGGTCCCTTATTACATTCTCCTGTGCCAGGTGTGAGGAGGAATAAATAGGTGATGGCACCTCAAACCACTGCATCAAGCTCTTCTAGGGCTCAAACCTGCAGGTTGATAAATTGGTTTGCACGATAGAAAGGATGCCAAGAAGATCACATTTTTATCACTCCAGGGATTATAGTCCATGCCCATTACTTTTCCAAGGGATTATTTTTGTTGGCGTTTCCATGAAAAGATTAACTATTACATTGAATAATCACTGTTTATTGATCATTTACAGAATCTTTGGTAGTTAAAAAAAAAAAACCCAAAACATAACTGCTTTCTGGTTTTGATATGCTATCAAAATATTTTCCAGAACAGATTAGATGTATTTTACATCAGTAAGGAGTGCTTTTTGCAAAAAACAAACCTTGACAGTTAGGAAAATGAGATGAAAAAGGCTACATTCCTAAGTTGCTAATGAAATGAAAGAAATTTATATCTATCTGAACTGAATCAAAAGACAGTGAAAATTCCCAGGAGAATATAGTATCTGAAGAGCACTGATGCTCTGTGCATATGATGCCATATGTGCATACTGCTTTTCTAAGGCCTTTGTTGCACTGGCTGACAAAATGCTAAATACTACAGTAAAAAAAAGAAGTATTTTTTTAAGGTGGATCTGAGATAAATCTTTTAAAAGTGAATCTGATTAGTATGTTAGCAAATACATCAAAGATTCCCAGTTATTTAGCAGTATAGAATGAAGGTGCTTATCTTCTGGTTTTATTGTTAACAACATGCTTTCACTTGCACATAATCTAGATTTCTTAATCATCGAAAAACCTCATTCCATTTTCACCAATAATATAGGCCTCTGCATCATGTGATTGTTATTGTGGATAATTTATGTTTGATCAAGTAATAGTTTCTGACCTTTCAGATGAAACGTATTATTATTATGCTGATGATGAAATCTTTTCTAAAATTCTTTTCAGTTTTGATTCATAGACCCTAATTTATAAGAAGCATCAATTACATATCTGAGAAAGATGAACAAAACTCTAATTCCTCATCTTATTTTCTTTTAACACATTTTTTTTTCTTCGAGTAAGCCTAATATGGGGGTTTTTTCTGTCTTTTCAAAAGGAAGTGTTATACCCAAGTATTTGTCTCCAGGCATCAGGAGATTATTGAAACACTTTTGTTACTATTTCTTTCATGGCCCTTCCTAGTCATAAAATGTTAAAATAGGTTAATAAGAAATCAAAACCATCTGTTACCATTGCAATTAAGGTAACAGATACTGCCAAAGCACAAATATTAGCTGGGCAGCATCAGAACTGAATGACTGATTATGTCCTTACAGGGGCAGCAGCAGTGAGCAGGACACATAATAATTATGGATATGGTGATTTCCCATCATTCTGTTTCCACAAATTGATGCTGTTTTGAAAATGATAGAAGTGCAAAATTGTCCTTTACAAGCTCACAGGACATGGAAATAGTGCTCATACATATTTCATATAACTGGTGAAGGTCATCATCAGACTCATAATTCATTCTGCATTTTAGCTGAATAAGAGTGCTCCCTAAAACTCAATAGTCAAACAGACTATTCTGATTTGACCTTCCTTTGCATCTCACTTTATTGTTACTGTCCCCCCAGATGCCCATGAAGGCAGCCAAACAGAGGAATTATGCGTGATGTAAAAAACTTCGCTTGACAGCAACACAGTAAACATACTGCATCTGCTCAAGCCATCAATTTAACTGGACATTTTGCCTCCAGCAGGGACCAAGAGCAGGCATTTGGAAAACAGTGCAATCAATGAAAACTATTGGGTTTTTGTCCTGGCTCCTGGCACTTACTGGAGCAAGTAATTATTCAATCTTCTCCTTTCTCCATCACATTGCCTAATTTAATCTCATATAAGATGAATGTGTCTCCATGTTGCTGACCCTTCTTGTTTCTCTTTATAATCTTTCAAACAATTCTGTGTTCGTTTCTGGAATTGAAGTAGCAGAACTGTCAGTATTACTCAGCATGTGGGTACAGTATATACAAAAGTCATAAGGATGTTTTCTGTTTTGTTCTCACTGCCAAAAATAAAAATTCCCAACATCTTAATTGACTTTTTGAAAAGTTCTAAGTACTATGCACAGTGGTTTCAAAAACTATTTCCAAAGTGTTAGTAATTAATTGTTCTGTTACAGATAATTAGGATTACTCTCCTGCCAGTACACTGCTTTGCATTTTTCAGTACCACCAGGTATTTTACTGTGTAATTTAAAACAGGTCACACAAACTTTATCATCTATTTTCCCATGTCTTCAATAACAGCTTTGAACAGCACTGGAGGTCCAAATATAAATGGTACTAAGAGCGCTCTACAGAGTAATTAGTAACCTCTCTTGGTCATGACTATCAATTGACTATCAGCTTTACCTCTTTGTCTCCTCCTACCTTTCAGTTGTTCATTGATTCTGAATGGAATCTGAATATCTTTTCACCCCATGAGGAATTAGTTTGGTAAAAGTACTTAATGTTTACAGTAAACATGTGGTAAACATATTTGTTGTTACAGGTTTCTCCGGAGACAGGTGTGTAACACCATTAGGGCCAGGCCTGAAAAATTTAGGGGAAAGTTACAAGGTCGTTTGCTAGGTAATTTATATTTATATAAATTTATATTGTTTTTATTGTTTTCCAGCATATATTAACTAGACATTCTCACTTTACTAGTATATGTTGATAACCCATGCTGTTCTTGTTTTGTATAATAATGTTCTTTTTAATTTTTGTTGTATTATATGTGCTAATGCGTAGGCAGGCATATGCATCACATGTGCATACACAGAGTGTTCTGTTGAGATCCTCCCCAGCTAAAAACCAATAGAACTGACACCATGATTTGCAGATTTCACTGTTAGATGAGATCATCTTAACAGCCTTCTTACATAATCCATGTCTTACTTTTGGTTTACAACACATTCCTGTTTGACATGTTGATTTAGTAACGACATCAATTCCTGCTGCATGTGCCTGTGTCCCATCCCCTTGCTTTAGCACCAATAACTTGCACCTGTTCAAAGTGCCAGATTCTCTTTACTCTCTCTGAAGCTGAATGGAAACTGTGGTGCTGTGATTCAAACAGGGGTGCGTGGATGTGTCTTGTCTTAGCCCAGCCCCATCAGGTGCCATCGACCTGCCCTGAGTCACTTCTCACCATGGGTGTATTGCACCCATCGTGCAGGTGTGCTGTAGGGTTATGACTCACCGTGACTCAACATGAACTCATAAAGCCACATCAACCCAGGTCTTCATGTGATTTAAAGATTTCAAGTGGTAGAGGATCTACAATGTTACTTATTCCAATGGACTTTGCAACACCACAGAAAATGTAAGATATCTTTTGCTAGAACACAACGGGGTCCTTGGGTACCATGAGAAATTAAAATTCAAGTGAATGCTGTTGCAGAAGGCTGGGGGGGGATAAGATTCAGAGAGTTTGGATATTTGAGGCAGTGCAAAGATTAGCTGTATATTTTGAGACAAGCCAATCAATGAGGAAAACCACACTCCATATCCAAAGCATCTTCAGAGTTTTTGGTCCAATAATTGTCTTCCTTGGCCACTCTCTCTGTCTTAAGTCAGCAAGGGAGAAAATAATTTAACCAAAATGAAAAGCATAATGATGCTCTGGAAAACTTTCCATGAATTTGTGCATAGAGACACATTTAAAAATATTAATTGTACTGGGTCTTAGCTTTACTTTTCCTATAAAGACCCAAAAAGACCAAACCAAAAGAGAACAGAAAAAAAAACCC